TAGTCTTACTACTGTAGAGCAGGAGTTATGTCGAACCCTACACAGAATGGAGATCACAGGGAAAAGGGGAAGAACAGTCCCTGTTCTTCTCCCATCAGATGTGCAACAGGCAATAAATTTGCTCATTGAAACAAGATCAAAATTTGGAGTGAGCAAAGATAACAAGTATCTCTTCCCCAGGCCCAACTATGGCAGTGAGGGTCACATCCGGGGGTCGGACTGCCTTAGAGAACTAGCACAAGAGAGTGGAGCAAAGCAGCCAGAGCTGATCAATTCCACCACCCTGAGAAAGCAGATTGCCACCATATCCCAGGTGGTAGATCTGAGAGAGAATGAGCTGGATATCTTGGCTAAGTTTTTAGGCCATGATATTCGTATACATCGGGAATATTATAGACTGCCAGAAGCAACAGTTCAGGTGGCCAAAGTGTCCAAGCTTTTGCTTGCCTCAGAGCAAGGACTGCAAATTGGAGGCAAGACTCTCGATGACATAAATGTCACCACTGAAGATGGTATGTAATAGATCCTTCTTTAGAAATCATTGTGAAACACTTCCATCCATCTCCCTGAAAACATTTCTAAATGTTAAGATGTTGTGTACCTGAGAGATATTACCAAAAATCTGTTATCATTAAAATTTATTCAAAGTATGTAAGAGAATACACACTGAATTCTCATTTCACTAGTTGTTTTATCAATCAAACATTATACGATTTCAAATTTTAGTATTTGAAGAGGAATTGTTGGAGGACGCAGCAAATGAAGACTCTGCTCAAGGTATAGTAAAATTTGATAAAATGCTGAGTTGCACAAGTGATGTTTTTCGTAGTATAGGAACATGCAGTGAGTGCACTTCTATGTGTAAACGTACAATAAAAACTGTCAGAATTATCTAGATTTACATGCTACATTTAAAGTGATAACTGTTAGTATGAAATCCTTATTTGACAATGAATACAAATGCTATTTTACCACCAAAGTGGCAGTTAACCCAATTTTTATGAAGTCTGTGCTTGTTATCACATCACGTGACCTCCATAGATGACTGTACTCTGTAATATTCTCTTAAGAAAATATTACAAAACACCAAACTTTTTAGAAAAAAAACAGGGACTAACTTTGAATTGCAGATCTGATTCACTGACCAATAGTTTTAAGTATGTGAAAATTGCCCTTAACCCCCCCCTTTTTTTTTTTTTTTTTTTTTTTGCTAAAATGGTCATTTATTATCCCTTTAGTATATTTACCTTTAATTTTGCTTTTTCAGATATTGTTGGTCAATTGATTCCAAGGGTCCCTTTAGATAATGGTGGAGAAGTTAATGCATTTGTGGAAAAACCAGGTAAAAAGAATTGCAAGAAATTACATACAGTAAATGTTTATCAAAATATTTGAATAATATAATGAACTCTCAAATTTCTATATTGGTATTCTAACATATTTTTTTCTGGATATTACTTGTTACATGATCTAATAACATATCAGGTGAAAATATGCTATACACTAATTTTGCTGTCAAAATGCTTAGATCCATATTCTATGGGGAACCTAAGAGGCCTTTCACAACAACTGGGCCAGGGTTTGACTCATCATGTGACATTTTGAAAGAATAACACCTAATTCTTTAATGGAATGTCTTCAGGCAACTTCGCTGTTTTAATAGCTCTCCCCCCCTGCAGGGAAGGCGGGTCGATTCGTTAAAGGATAAAATTTTATTTTTTTAACATGTGTGATGATTTAGGCTTCAGCTCAGTTAAGCTGCAGCTCATTTGTTATGATTAGTCTCTACAGCATTAAGTCTGAATAGTTCCATACTTTTTTTATTTGTAGTCCCAAAAAAGAAGGCAAAAGGCAAAAGGCCTTGGACAAAAGAAGAAGTGTCAGCTGTATTGAAGCATTTAGGAAGTTTCCTGGTTCAAGGAAAACTGCCTGGAAAAGAAGCAATCATGGAATGTGTGGAACAAGAATCTGCTTTGGATAGCAGGAGCTGGAAAGACTTTTGTAGAAACAGAATGCAAACAAAGGATCCACTAAAACTAACTTATGCAAATTAAGCAAGTTAATTTCGAAAATCAGCATGGGGGGGGGGGGGTTCAAGCTGTGCTTTTTTCACCTTTTCCAGCATATTTCCAACACTGTTAACATATTTCCGATAGGCCTATTGTCATGAAACTCACAGAACTGTTGAATATTTATAAAACGCAGTTCGAAAATCAGTGTGATCTGGCCAATTTNACATTTCCTCACAGAATGCACAAGATACACTGTTGAGAGGCAACGAATGCATGATGAACTACTGAAAATCAGTGTAGTGGGTCTAGATGACAGTGATCAGATATTGTCAATTCTCCTTAATCCACCCTGTCATAAAAGTCTCAAAGTAATAGCAGAATTTGTAAAGACTGCTGTTAAAATACATAGTTCACCTGAAATCTAGTATATCACAGCCACTTATTGTCAATAATGCTGTGAATAGCTTAATTAATTAATATTATAGCATAATTTGCATTAACGCATGTATGATTTAACATACTACATATGTAAACATATATAATTGTATATCCATATATATATTGTGTAAATATTGTAGTCTAGAGAGCCTGCAAATGTATTCACATCATTTAGTGCTCAATAAACTTATTATTATTATTATTAATAAAGGGATTAAGCTTAATTGCTTTCAAGCAGACACTCAGTCTGTCCCACCCAGCTGTAAGTTGACTTAACTTGTGCATATTCCCTTTGAAGATTTATTACAATGACTTGGTTCATGATCAAGGGATAACCTATTAAAATATTTATTAATGGAAGGATTTTATTTAAATAACCTGTGAAAGTAGCTTTTTGTATGTGATGTACAACAAACAAGTGGTGGAAAAGTGTTATTTATTCTGTATAACTCCAGTGAATTAAATTTGGCTTTTTTTTTTTTCAATGAATATCACTTTATCCTTGGTTAAACCTTGACATGGATAAAAATTCCGTGTTAATTGTCAACCACACTTGAAACACCACATATAATTACACTCATATAGGTTATGTTAAATTTCTATTACAGTTGAGTTCTGAGTATTTCCTAAGGCATTGATATTGAAATGAATTTTTTCCTGTAACTGACTGATTAGAATTAAGTTGTGTATCTGCCCAAAGTGTAAATGTACTTTTCATTCATTCTATGAACTTAGGTGTTGGATTCAAATATGCCCACATATCCACATACACAAATGCATGTTCAGTTACAGAGAACTTACAAAAGTACTAAAATATGTTTTACTCACATACTATAAGTTGTCTCATGCTTGTTAGTGTGTAGCTGATTCCCATTCAGTTTGTAAGAGCAAGATGCAAGAGATTCTTTTTCTATTATTTTACAGGTTAAATAGGAGAATCTAATGTAATACTAACAGTTATCAAATGTACCAAGTTCCCTTATTTTTTGCTTTGTTCTGTAATGAATCTTATGTGGAAGCTATAAGTAATTAGATTAATTTAATCTTAGGTAATTTAAGATCATAGGTATTTTGTTTAAAAAAAGTCAGCCTGGTACTGATATTCTGTATATAAAGAGAGGAAATGTTATCATTGCACACTTTACTCTGAAGCCATGGCTTCCTAATTTCAATTGTTTTTTGACAAGTTGATTAAAGATTATCAATGCATATTATATAAAGAGTAAAACAGTAAAGAGTTTAAAGCTAGGTTGAGCAAGTTGACAACTAGATTAAAGATTATCAGTACATATTACATAAGGAGTAAAACAGTAAAGAGTTTAAAGCTAGACTGAGCAAGTTTGAACATGTCCGAAAAGTGCTATTTTTCTGAGTGTATCTCTTGTCGTAAATCACATCCCAGTCTAGTAACTGAGCTTTGACATCTTAAGACAAATAAATGTCTTAATTAAACTTTTTTACCACGCCCAACATGAACTCTGCAGCCATTTCCATGTTGTAAGTAAAGTCCAGATCATTCTAATCATGTCCAGTTGTATTTTCTGTAATGTCAAGAAGATGGGCACAGCAAATGGTTTTCAAAGAGTTCACTATTAAATTGTTCTTTTTCTTTTAAAATTTAAAACATTGAACCTTATAGGTTTACCAACCGCTTGTACTATGAGAAAGATACTTTTTTTCCCCATGAAAATTTCACTTGGCAAGAAAACCTTAAATATGCAGATAAATATTTTATGTTGATTTTTAGTGATGCTTAATTTCAGCTCACAGTAGCATTTACAAAGCACTTTCAACCTCATCAACTTGGCAATAAATATACTTCATTTAGAATAGCGATAAGTTAAGATGCATTTGGATTAAAGGGATAATAACTCTTTGTATGATATCTATATTTCACAATTAAAACATTGTAAACAACTCATAGAAATATAATATATTCTGGTTTACAACAAATTTAAAATGAAGTTATAGCTATTATTTTATATGATCGAATGATGTAATGTCGCAAGGTGATAGGATCATATTTATAGCTAAGGAGGTCATTTCAAGTGCTGCAAAGCTAGAAGTTGTGTCTGTTTTCAAACGTCAGTTATTTCATGCCTATCTATGACTTAAACAATGTTAAATTACACTTCTATGTAAGATAAAGCCTTAGGAGTTTAGAGGTATGCAAAACGAACCTTATATCTGAGAATAAATTTACTTTGACTAACGTCTCCGTTTGGCTATCGGAGGCAGCTTAGGTGTGATATTTTTGGGTCTTCGGACCCTGACGATTATGAAATTTAACTCGTGCAATTTTTTTTATTTAATAAATTAGATATCCCGTTTTTAAGATAAACTAGAGGATCAGAGAGGCGATACCGCCTCCGAATATTGTACCACCAGCTGGAGCAAGCGCATTCGTATAGACCCCCACATACACAAAATAAGGGACACAGCCACCAGTCTTATGCTTGACAAGCTATAAAAATGCAATCAACAAGAATTTTCAAAATACGCAAAAAATATATATAACTTAAAATGGTACAATCAAAGTTAAGTTCATCGTAAGGTAGGTCAAAGGTCAATTTCAAGGTCACAGTAAATTGCCAGTATATGACTTCCTATTCAACTTCAATAGTAACTATGGACCTATCTCTGCCAGGTTTGGAGTTAAAAGAGAAAGAAATTAGCAGAGTTCAGTTCATGATTATAAGTAGGTCAAAGGTCAATTTGAAGGTCACATATAGATTGCCAGTATATGACTTCCTATTCAAGTCCAATAGTAACTACGGACCTATCTCAGCCAGTTTTGGAGATAAAAGGAAACCAAAATTTGCAAAGTTCAGTTCATGGTGAAAAGTAGGTCAAAGGTCAATTTCAAGGTCACAGTAAGATTGCCAGTATATGACTTCCTATTCAAGTCCAATAGAAACTACGGACCTATCTCTGCCAGTTTTGGAGATAAAAGGGAAGCAAAATTTGCAATGTTCAGTTCATGGTGAAAAGTAGGTCAAAGGTCAATTTTAAGGTCACATTTAGATTGCCAGTATATGACTTCCTATTCAAGTTCAATAGTAACTATGGACCTATCTCTGCCAGTTTTGGAGATAAAAGGGAA